ATGTGTATAAGAGACAGGTGTATGTGTGTGTGTGTGAAAAATAATTTAATCCAAAATAATCTGTGTTATATTAATACATATATTATAATAATGTGTTATATTAATACGTATGTTAATAATAAGTGTAACCTATAAATATACTAGTATATATAATAAATATACTAGTATATATATATATAAATATACTAGAGTATAATAATTATCAATGCAATATCTGCCAAGTTTAAAATGTCAATTGATTTTAAATATTTATATATATCATTTAGATGAATTACAGCATATATTAAATATTGCGAAGCCGCGTATTGTTTTCGTATCTCAGCGCACCGAAAATCTCTTTGCTAAAATCCTATCGAAGTTATCCTGGAAAATGGAATTAATACAGTTGGACGACCAAACGCTCACTACAAATGTCCACACGTTGACGAATATCTTAAATAATGAACCAGATATAGACTACATAAAATACAAGTCTGCAGATATCGATGATCCCAGTCGGCATCCGTTGAGTATTCTTTGTTCGAGTGGCACCACGGGCTTGCCAAAAGGAGTGACATTGTCTCATAAAAATGTAATGGCGTATTTATCAGAAATAAGGCACGTTTTTTATACAGATATATTATATTTTTTAATAATTATATAGTCAACATATTTAAAAAAATCTTTTGCTTTTAAATGGCAATGAAATCAATATGCATTTGATTAAAAACGTGGGCGTTAAATGTTTAATTTAAAGAGAGATTTTAATTTAATACAAAATATAATATTATATAATTATCATACTAATTATTTCCAGACTAAATGTTTAATTTAAAGAGAGATTTTAATTTAACACAAATTATAATACCATGAAATAATTATTTCTAGACTAAATATTTAATTTAAAGAGAGATTTTAACACAAAATATAATACCATACTAATTATTTCTAGACTATCTTTAACTATAATGTTAATTTTAACTTTATAGTTTATTTGCTAACTCTGCGTGTACAATCGTCCAAAGAGACAATGTGCCATTTTGTCGCTTAAAAGCAATTAAAGATTTGATTTTATAATTTAAATATGATTTAAAAACGCAGCAAGCCGGAATACATGGACATAAAAAGTGATGACAGAATATTGGTACTGGTACCGTTTTATCATGTTTTTGGAATGGGCATGTTGTTACTCGGTCTTTTCGGGAACTGCACCTGTATTATAATGCCCGCCTTCGAGTCGCAACTCTTTCTAACTCTGGTACAGGAATATAGGATCACCTATCTCCCGGTGGCACCGCCAATCCTGACGTTTCTGGCGAAACACCCGCTGGTAGATAGGTACGACTTTCGCAGCGTGAGAGAACTCTTCTGCGGAGCGGCGCCTCTTTCGAAGGACGTAAGTTTTTTTCTCTAATCGTGAAGTTTATCCTCTTTATCTACTATCCCCTTTGCCCAAGTCATTACAGCAAGAAAAGCAGCCTTCAGCGAGACTAATTGTAAGTGCCGGTAGTGAGTTCTCGATGTCGCGGCTGCTGTGAGTACGAAGGACTGCGAGAGGAAATCCCGGGGAGTTGTCGCATTTTTACTAGACACGGCCTAAAATGTAACTTTCGTTTTTATTTAACCGGTTCACAAAGTCGTTAAGGAAGAATAAGAGAAAAAAAATGGAAGGCCGTATACTTGCGAGTAATTTCACAATCGCTTCTTTCGCAAAATGCGAAACATCTCTTATCGGGACAGAGACTTCCAAAGACAGGAAGGAGAGTAGAGGATCTCTTAAAGTTTTGAAAATCAAATACGTCTCTGAACTTAATGGTTTTTGAATACCACTTTCTAGTTAAATATTATTGCTTTTGTCTCTCTCGTGATAGAAGTACAATTGCAGAGCAAAACAGGCTTTAAAAATGACAGAAAGAACGCTATAAAATGTATATGTATATGTTAATTTTTATACTAAATGTACTGATAAATGTTATGGCTGTAACAGTTAAAAATAATTTTTTTTATGAGAAAATAAAAATAAATAATATCCTGTGACGAATTTCGAAAGACAATACTAATAATATTAATATATATTCGCATATACTCGTATTCGCATATATGCGTATATTAATATATATTCGTATATATATTCGCATTCTTAAAGCACTACTTTGCAAGTCATTAATGTTAATTCCTTTGCATTTAATTAAACTAATTTTTAAAAAACTAATTCAATGTTGATGCAACCAGATGTTTGATAACAATGGAAAAATTTAAAGTAACTTATTTCCTCTTTTTTTTTTGCAGATTGTAACCGCGGTGAAGGCTCGCACCGGCATAAATTGCATTCGCAACGCTTACGGCATGACGGAATTGTCGTTTGCGTGCAGTGTGAGTGGACTTGACGATGATGATGAGTTCGAAAATCCAAGTTGCGGACGGTTCCTCCCTGGTCTCCGCAGCAAAGTGATCGATCTTGAAACGCAAGAGACGCTGGAGGCTGGCCAGGTGGGCGAGATCTGCTTTCTCGGGGATCAAGTAATGCTGGGTTACTGGAACAATCCCGAGGCGACCAAACAGACCATCGACCAGGACGGATGGCTCCACACCGGCGACATCGGCTACTTCGACAACAAGGAGAGGTTACACGTGGTCGATCGCGCCAAGGACCTGATCAAGTACAAAGGTTATCAAGTCTCACCGTCGGAGATAGAAACCGTCTTACTGTCGCATCCCGAAGTAAAAGACGCCGCGGTCGCTGCCAAACTCGATGAACGCAGCGGCGAGATCCCCGTGGCTTTTGTAGTGAAGCAACCTGGCGCCACGTTTACCGCCCATTGCTTGCAGGAACTCGTCAAAGGTGGGTTGTCACTCAGCCTGATCTTTTTTGTCATTTTTCGCAGATTTATTAAAATGTTCTTCAATTACATTATTTATTATTTTAATCATTATGAAAAAGTCTCGTTTAAAAGTGTGCACTATTTTGTTGCCTTCGTATGTCATACTTTGATTCTCTTCATCACAATAAAAAATGTTTAAAAAAGATAAAAATGCCAATAAAATTCGGCACTAAGTTTTAGTGTGTATAGATAAAATATATATTGATTAATTGATACAATTTAAAACGCAATTGCAAACGTTTCGACTCTTATTCGAATCATCTTCATTATAAGAATTGTGAAAATTCCGCAAAATATTTCATTAGAATGTGAGAGTTAACCGTGTGATAGTCAAATTATCATCTAGTCCAAATATAATCAAAGATCGCTTATTAAGTGTTTGGAAAAACATTTAACCAGTGAAGTCAAATATAAAAGATTCCGATGACAATGACTATCTGACAGGCATAGATGTTATATATGTACGGTTTAAAGTGTAACAAACTTTGATTATATTCGGATAATTGATGAATAGATAACAATTTGACTGTCACATGGTACGTTAACTCTCACATACTAATTTAATGAATTATTTTGCGGAATTTTCACAATTCTTGTATTGAAGATGACTCGAATAAGAGTCGAAACGTTTGCGATTGCGTTCTAAATTGTATCAATTAACCAATATATATTTTATCTATACACACTAACACCTAGTGTTGGCTTTTATTGGCTTTTTTATCTTCTTTAATTTATTTCATTTAAGGAGTCATGCCATCTTTGAGGTTTTAGAACCATACCTAAAGTTTGGGATTTTTTTGTGGGTAAATGAATAACTTTATTTAAAATCTGCTTAGAGCACATTATTGTACATATATAAAAAAATAAAAAAATATTTTTTTATTTTATTTATATTAAAAATGGCGGCGGACTGGCCTACACTTGCAAAATCCTTTTTTTTCTATCGGTGTACAGGATTCCAGGTACACGGTTTGACCTTGAACAAAACACAAAGAATGTTTATTATCTACATATTAAAAACTTTAGAAGTACGTAGGGATTTTTCTAAATATTGATTTTTCTCAAAATGGCAGCTATTTTAAGAAAGACTTGTACTAGCGAAAAATACACATTTTTCATAAAATAGCTACCATTTCAAGAAAAATCAATATTTAGAAAAATCCCTACATACTTCCATAGATTTTAATATGTATACAATGAAAATTCTTTGTATTTTGTTCAAGGTCAGACAGCGTGCCTGCAATCTTGTACACCGATTTCAAGATTTAGAAAAAAGGCATTTGGCAAGTAGGCCAATGTGCCACCATTTTGAACATTACAAAAATAAAAATATATTTTTTTTACTTTACTATATATGTACAACAATGTCTTTAAAGTAATTTTTTAATAAAGTTATCTGTTTACCAAGAAAAAAATTCCAAACTTAGGATCATTTTAGGGCCTCAAAGGTGATATGACCCCTTAAGCCTAAATTCTACTAAAATTTGAAAAATGTTTATTTTCAATTTTCTTTACACTTTAAAGTTTAAAATAATAAGTTTAAAAAAACAAAAAAGTTTTAAAGCAGATTTAAAAAATATTAGAGATATACATATAGATATATGGTTAAAAATTTAATAAATTGCTTACAATAAAGTGTGAAAGTTACTTGATACGATGCGTTATCGCATTTAAATTTAAATAAATAAATAAAATATGATGCCACAAATAATATGGTTGCATTCAACGTTACACCACATTATTAATGGTATTATTATAGTTATTATTGACATCGTGTTGTAATAACATTAAATGCTGCGATCAACAAAACTGTCAGTTATCTTCTCTGTAATTTTTTAAATATGCGGCGCAGCAAGAGCGTTACTATTAAAATGCAAGATAGGTGGAAATATTCCGCCCTATCTTGACATTGCATTTTAATAGTAAACACGAGCTGAGCGATGACTTGTACACACATTAATCGAGCAATTCAATTTATCTTGCAGAAAAACTGTCGCCGCAAAAATGGCTGCATGGTGGAGTGCAATTTGTCGATGACATACCGAAAAATCCTTCTGGCAAAATCCTACGCCGCAAACTTCCATTAATGCTCTCTAAATAATAATATAAAAATCGCATATGATAGACGTGTTTATATGTATAAATCTTTTTCGACGAAAGACCAAAGAAAAGCAAAAAATAACGGAACACAATAATTTTTAATATTTTTAATATCCCAAAGAGCAAATTGGCAATCAAGAAATTAAAGTACCATGATGCCTATGCTAAGAAATATTTCTGCGTTAATGAACGTCTCACTGCGAAAAAGAATATAAACTCCGCGAATTCTTTCGCCAGAAACATAAATTTATTGACTTGTCACGTTGATTAATTCGTAAGTAAACCATTAAATAACCGTGAAACGCGAATTATTACAAATATCTTTAATTTGACAATGCCGCATGCGTTTTATAATGCAAATCCCGCGCCTTTCTCGAAGAGAATTAAACGACAAAATGTTTTAAAATATTTATAAGAATCTCTGATGAAAGCTCCAAAAAGTGATAAAAGTCGTTAACCAATTACCGAAAATAATCTTTCTGTCAACAATATTATATGTTGTTTTACACTAGGCAAGCTCTCTCGAAGAGAATTGAATGGTAAAGAAATATTAGAATATTGTTGCATAACGGGGATAAAGCTTCAGAAAGTGGTCAAGCAACGCTGGATGTTTATTGAAAAATATTTTTGTGCCAGCAATGTTTTTTCTAAGCACGTTTTATCGAAGATAATTAAACAATAAAATGATTTAAAATATTGTTGCATAATATGAATGAAAAAAAAAACGAAGCTTCGAATTCGATGACAATCTCCAGAACCATTTTTATATTAGCAATGTCATACATACGTTTCTTAATGCAAGATGCTTTTTTGACAAGAACTGAACGATAAAAAGTGTTTGAATATTGTTGAAAATTACAGATCTACTTTGCTTAGTAGCGAGAAAGAGGAGTAAAACTGTATACCCCAACGTTTTAGATTTTCATCTTTAGGATGTCATGATGATTGCACATCTGCTGTGCAATCATCTCTCACATAAGAATTACTGAGCATCTCCTTGTATTGCTGTATTAAGAGAGTACAATTAGCTTTTCTGTCTTTGGATTTTCAACCCTTCAGGATATTGATCCACCCCACATCGCCAAGATCGTATTCGTTTGGGAGATTATAGATCGCGTGATGATTTTACGGTCCAAAAATGAGCACCAACTTTCGTATGCAGTTGATAAGCGCAACATTCGATTTTATCCATTTTTTGAGAAACACCAAAACTTGTTTGCTTTACTCAACACACGAGACAAACTACTAACCGCATCGATCTGAAACTTTTTCGGTAGGCCTTTGAAGGATCAAACTTAAGAGAAATCATAGCTATTTGATACCCCCGGTGCCATTTCTATGTCAG